TCCAGCTTTCTGATACACTATTGGAAGTTATCTTGGAAGTTATCAAAACTTATTGAAGTGATCTTGATAAGAATTGCTTAAATCCCTGTCTTGTCCTACAGAAAACAAACAGGAAAAAACACTTCGTGTACATGTGTCCCATGTTAATGAATATTAAAAACGTTCTGTCTTTAAATCACTTTTGGTTAAAAGTCCTTTGGTTAAAAGTGTTATCTACTACTTTTCTTTAAAATTGTTGAGGAAGAGAATATTTAATTTTAAAAATGTTTGTAGGCAACCATCAGTCAGTGAGACACAGTGGAAGGAATTGCTCCAGGATATGTTAGACATGCAGCAGAAAGTATATACATGCTTGCATGCAGATACTTGCTATGAGGTGAGTTTTGTGTTTTCTTACTGATTTATGTTCCCAAGTAAACTACAAATTCTGATTTCATATTATTGCTCACAAACGTAAATATATTTTCAGGTGTTAGGTTATTTGGTTTTCTAGTGGCTGTTCTGTGGTATTTCCATTCCACTTAGAAACTTTTTGTGTTAATTCATATAATAAAAAATTCTCCTCTAATATATATCTTGTGTATCTTTTACTGAAATTCAGCTTTATTTAAACGTCATAATTATATGCACATGTTTAATAATAAACATTTACAACTGATTAAAATAAATAATCTTTTAGCTAAGTGTTCAGCCAAGCATTTTAAAAACATTTTAAAAGTTCTATTTGATAGTATTATCCGAGATCATTATAGGATCTGAGATCATTATAGGATTATGGATTTTCTATTGTCTGCAGTTGAAGTGAAATAATGAAGTAAGAAATCTAATTTCCTTGAAGGAAACCCCCTCCTGCATGTACATAAACACCCAAACTGTGTCATTAATATTTGCAAAGGACAGCTATTACAGTGATGTAGAATTTGCATGTATTGTTTAAGTTTTCACTTCAGTATACTGCAGTTTACAGAAGCAGTACTGCGTCTTCTATAATTGCTGTTAAAAGTTTAAGGAGGAGTGGTTTATTATGGTTTGCAGATGTAATTGCTTATGTCTGCCAATCTGATTAGCTCTTGAGAGAAGTTTTGAAATCAAATTGGAAAAAAAAATGGAAAGGAAAGAGCCTTGCTATTCAACCTACACATAAAAAAGACTTTCTCTGTAATGGCATGATCTGAAGTTGCTCAAAGAGAACATTCATAGAGGACTTAATGTTCGTATTTTTGTGATAGGATAAGGCTTTAAGTACTTGGAATTTTAAGTGCATTTGAAAGCATTATACTAGAGCACTCTGAAAATAACAGCATTTGCTTTACTCTGATCTTATTGTAAATTTGTAATTAATACTAAATTATCTTTTAATCTCTGTACCATATGATTAAATAAAAAGCACAAAACAAGCATTTTGGAAAAAGGATCAAGGAATGCTGAAAAAGCTTTGAAATGTAGTGCTGTCATATGCAGTTACACTTCGCTAGCTTCAAAACTGAGCAGTTGATGAGGCAGTAAGGATTTGCAATCACGTGTGAGGTTTGTATTGGAATCTTCTTTAGCGTGATGCTAAAGTGAATCCTGTCCTCTTAAAGAAGGACTTTGTGTCCATACCTTTTTGAGAGAGGTAGATTGTATGATTGTGATCTTTAAGGAAGTGGGATTAGCCGTCATACTTTGCATCTTTCACTGTTCCTTGAGGATTAATATATTGTGAAAAGGAAGATGATCCAATTGTGTTATGTTTTTTAAGAAGTGCTGAACTGTGTTCTGTCCTGGTTTGAGCTAAACAGAACAGCACTTTACAGAACATGAGATGATTTGAAGAGGTTCTTCCTGGTGAAATACTACTTTAATTTCAAGATGTGATTTGGACAGGCTGCTACATCATCTCATCTGCGCCCCCTTTCTCATGAAAGGTTGCACCAGATGATCTTTTGAGAGCCCAACCTGGGCTCTTCTGTGATTCACTGGTTGTGTTTAATTTCTTATGAAATTTAAAACCTTTAGTAAAGCCCATGTTGTTGCAGCTGTGACATCTTTTGAAACGGTTGAATGCGTATGTTGCTTTCCATTAGGACAATAGTGACTGTGCTTAAAGACCCACAGTTTACTTTTGTCAGGAACTGAGATTATTTTAAGTGTCTTAAAGCATTCATAACTTGGGTCTGTAAATAAGTTAAGTATTTTGTGACAGATGCAACGTTATATTAAGATGCGTTCTTTGAAGATAATGTTGATTAGAAATGAGCATGTAAGATTTTTTTTTAGTTTTAAATATGTTTAGTTTCTTCAGGGATACAGAATCTCTTCTCATATGGTGTTTGTTTTAAGTTATTAATCTTGAACTGCCTTTTCATATTCTTACATCCTATTAACAATTTAGAATGCAGGTATAAATAATTTTTAATCTCTAAGTCATACTGTAAAAAGGCAGTTAATAAGTTTTTTTTTTTTTTGCAGGAAATAGAAAAAACTAGTTACTGGTTAGTTTTAGCTTTATTTAAATAAATTTTGGAAATACGCTCCTTGGTAGATGCTACATTTTTTACTTGGACCAAAAGTATTTTTTTTTACTTCAAAGATCTTTTGAACAAAAGATGTTCATTCTGTAAGATAAATTTACTTAAAACTGCTGCAGATTATTAAATTATTGTTCTTGCTTTCAGATATTCACAGAAAGTCTTCTCTGCTCAAGCAGTATAGACAACATCCACCTGGCTGGGCAAATGATGCATTGCAGTACCTGGTCAGTGGATTTACCAAGCTCATCAAAAGGAAAGCCCCAGTACCGTGTCAGCTATGCCAGAAGTATTGAACTAGTTTTGGCTGCTGGCAGAGAATATTTCAATTCTTCAACGAGTTTGACTGATAGCTGTATGGATTTGGCGAGGTATATTTACAATTATCATATATATAAAGATATATTTCTCTTTAATTGAAACTTGACTTTTGTTTTTGCTGTAAGAGGGAGTGAATCTTATGTGGGTTTATTCCTCTTTGTGTAAAATCACGTGGTAAATGGAAACAATGCCTTTGGCTTCTATAAGATTTTTTGTTTATTTTTTTTTTCTTTTTTGAGGAGATGTTTTTTTTCTCTATTCCCCCACCTCCCTGAACCCCCCACCTTGCCCTGGGTGTGTGTTTACATTATTGTTGTTCCTGATTGCTGGAATGATCGGTTAAAGAACTCAGGTTGAAGAAATAGAATCGTGCAAGTCCTTGTAGATAGGAAGGTTTGCGTGTGTGTCATTTGAACCTTTTCCATATTGTGGCACTGAACCGCAGTTGTTGTGTCTAGTTACTATCACAATGGAAGATAGCATTTTGATGATTCTTTAATTGCTTTTCTTACTTTGGTCTTTCCCAGTAACAGTATTAATTATAGAAGACTACCTCTATTTATACCCTTTGATTGAAAACACAGTCTATTGATTGTCATTGCTACTTAAAAGCACTCTAAGTAAATACTTGTGGAGGGCTAAAAGGCCCAAGAGGAATGAGTGTGTGGTATTTTTTTTGGTTTTGTATTTTTTAAATTTATATTTATTTTTAATTGTATAACTTTTTGTATGAATACAATGTATTATTATTATTTAAAAATGAACTGGACATCAGGGCTACTAGATATGCTGTGCAAAACTGTGATCATAATGAAGCAGATGTATAGACTGTTATCAAAATTACAGCTGGATTTTATCTGTATGCATACAGTTGCCACAGTTAAAATCTCTCTCTCTTGTCAACTTACTGTTACGGGGAGAGGATGCTGTAGTGATGGCAGGTCCAGTGTGTGTAAGAGAGAAGCCCTCCTCTGGGCTAAGCTAGGAGGCCAAGAGATTGGTTGGTTTTCACAGGTGAATAGCTTGATTTTTGGAGCAGCAGGAGCAAAAGAGACCTATTTGGTCAGCGGTCCAGTCCTTTGCCGTTACATGTGGCACTTTAATACAGTGTAGCATCATGTAGCTTCACCTCCGTGTCCGGGAAAGTCATGGAACAGATCCTTCTAGTAGCTCTACTATGAGCCATGGAGGTCAGGGAGGTGATGCGGTACAGCCAGCACGGCTTCACCGAGGGCAAGTCTTACCTGAGCAACCTGATGACCTTCTGTGATGGAATGACTACATCAGTGGGCAAGAGAAGAGACATGCATGTCCTCTGTCTGGACTTCTGTAAGGCCTTTGACACAGTCCCTCAAAACATCCTTCTCTCCAATTTAGAGAGATAGAGGTTTGATGGATTGACTGTTCAGTGCATGAGAAATCGGTTGGATGGTTGCATCCAAAGGGTCAACAGCTTGATGTCCAGATCAGTGACGAGGGACGTCCCTCAGGAGTCTCTACTTATCAATGATATAGACAGTGGGATTGAGTGCACCCTCAGCAAGATTGCAGGTGACACTAAGCTGTGTCACTAAGCCCAGAAAGCCAATCGTGTCCTGGGCTGCATCAAGAGGTGCGTGGCCAACAGGTTGAGGGAGGTGATTCTCCCCCTCTACTCCACTCTCGTGAGACCCCACCTGGAGTCCTGCATCCAGTTCTGGAGCCCCCAGCACAAGAAAGATCTGGACGTGCTGGAGTGTGTCCGGAGAAGGACCACGAGGATGATCAGAGGGCTGGAGCACCTCTCCTGTGAAGACAGATTGAGAGAGTTATTTAGTCTGCAGAAAAGAAGGCTCTGAGGAGACCTTATTGTGGCCTTCCAGTATCTCAAGGGGGCTACAAGAAAGCTGGTGAGGGGCTTGTTAGGATGTCGAGTAGTGACAGGACTAGAGGGAATGGATTAAAGCTGGAGATGGATCGATTCAGATTGGATGTTAGGTAGAAGTTCTTCCCCATGAGGGTGGTGAGACACTGGCACAGGTTGCCCAGATTGATGGTGGAAGCCCCATCCCTGGAAGTTTTTAAGGCCAGGCTGGATGGGGCTCTGGGCAACACGGTCTAGTGGGAGATGTCCCTGCCCATGGTGGGGGGGTTGGAACTAGATGATCTCTAAGGTCCCTTCCAACTCTGACAGTTCTATGGTTTTACAAGTGTTGTGGTTGACACGCCTGAGGGTGATGTTGTTATCACAACTGGCTGAAGAACATTGTGGAAATCCAAGAATAGAATTTTATTAAAAAGTTTAGCCAGCTGTAACAGACATATAGTGCCAAACATTTAAAATGTGTGTTACAGGACTAGTGGGTCTTCTGACATTTCATAAGCACTGTTGTTTTTGTTTTGTTTTTATGATTACTAGTTTGGTATTTTGTTTTCTGTGGTGGAGTGGTTTTGGGTGGTTTTTTTTTGTTTTACTCAGGTGAACTTTTTTGCAAATTTTACTTTGAATTTATTGAACAGCTCTTAGAAAAATCTGTTTCCTTCCTAATTAGGTGCTGTCTACAACTTATTGTAGACTGTCCGAGTGCTATTCAGGAGGAGCTAGATCTCATTCGTGCTCTTGGCTACCTTGAAGAATTTGGTGTGAAAATATTACCACTACAAGGTACTGCATGTTTTTATTCTTTTTATGATTACTTGAATATTGGCCATAAATATGCATGACAAGCAGTTTACTATTACGTAAATGTTGCGTAAGTAAACTAAAGGATCCCTTCCCTGCCTCAGAACAACTTATACACACATATCAAAAAATGATTTTTTAAAAAACATTTTTCAGTTGATGTCGGGTCACAAAGTTGTCTGCATATGGAGTATATGTTTGGGAACTGCTAGATAGCAGAACTCTTTAGTAATTAGAGTACTGAGTATCTGAAGCTCTGGGTGACTTCAGCAGAAATAGTTCCAGCTCACCTACTATTTGCAGACTTATCTGTGCTTGCTCATGTGCTGATGAGCTTTAAAATATTGGGTGGGAGAGAAGTACTTCATCTGCAGGCAGTTTTCATCTCTTTGCTGTGCTGGAAGTGAACTTTCCAAGGTATTTTTTTCTGATGACTTAAAACTTCAGATTTGTTTTGGAGCTCTGACTTCAGTGGTATGGAAACTTGTGGACAGAAGTTGGAAAGAAGGGATGATTGTGGACAGTGAGATAAAGGGGAAAATGGAATATATTTCAGTATATTCTTTGCTTATAGATTATGTCAAACTAATGAATTTTATTGCTTTGTGGAGTGCATTGATGCTGGCTGCACATCAGGTTCCCACCAAAGCTGCTCTCTGTCTCCTCCTCAGCTGGACAGGGGAAAGAAAGTAAAATGAATGGCTTGTGAGTCAAGATGAGGACAGGGAAATGCTCAGCAATTACCGTTATGGGTAGAACTTCGCTTGGGGAAAATCAGAATATAATAACAAGAAATAAAAACTAAATCTAAATCTTTTCCCACCATCCCTTCTTCCCAGCCTTCACTCCTGATTTCCTTGAACTCCACCCCTGCAGCAGCACAACGAGATGAGTGGGGAATGGAGGTTGTGATCAGTTCAGCACATGTCATCTGCTGCTCCTTCCTCCTCAGGGGGTGGGCTCCTCACACTCTTCCCTTGCTCCAGTGTGGGGTCTCTCCTACAGGAGACAGTTCTCCGTGAACTTCTCCAATCTGAGTCCTTCCCATGGGCTACCATTCTGCACCAACTACCCCAGTGTGAGTCCTTTCTGTGGGGTACAGTCCTTCAGGAACAGGCTGCTCCAGCCTGGGTTCCCCACGGGGTCACAAGTCCTGCCAGAAAACCTGCTCCAGCGTGAGCTGCTCTCCCCACAGGTCCTGCCAGGAGTCTGCTGCAGCATGGGCTTTCCTTGGGGTCACAGTCTCCTTTGGGTGCCTCCAGAGTGGAACCCACGGGCCTCAGGTGGATATTTGCTTCCCCTGTGGATGTCCATTGACTGCAGGGGCACAGCCTGCCTCACCGTGGGGAATCTCTGCTCCAGCACCTGGAGCACCTGCTGTGTGCAGAGTTGTTGCTCACATATTTTCACTGCTCTCTCTTCTGGCTGCTGTTCCACTGCAGTTTCTTTCCCCTCACTTCTAAAATACATGATCCCAGAGGCGCTACCCCTGTTGCTGATGAGCTCAGCCTTGGCCATTGTGAGTCTGTCTTGGAGCCGGCCGACATTGGCTCTGTTGGGTGACACGGGGGAAGCTTCTAGCAGCTTCTCATACAAAGGCACTCCCGTAGCTCCCAGCTACCAAAATGTTACCGTCAAAACCCAATACACTTAATGAACAAACCCCCACTTTTTATACTGAAATACGGGAGAGGTCATCTGCTTGGCTGTCCGTGGAGCTGAGTGTGTGGTGTGTGTGTGTGCAGCTGTGCGAGATGGCCGGAACACCGACACCGAAAGCACCCTGCGAGAACTGGCTGAGAGGAGCACTGAGTGCCAGTGGAACGTGCTAATGGGAATGTTTTACTTCTGGCATTGTCCAGAGAGATACTGGGATCTGTGGAAAGCACTTGTGACTCTGCGGAAAATGACGTGGATGTTCTTAGTGGCTGTTGTTACTTTATTTTTGTATGCTCTTTTTTAAAGTATTCTTTCAGAGTGAGCTGATGCTCCCTACGTTATGTTCAGAAACCATTTCTGGACTGAGGATAAGTCTGGTTTCTAGATCTTGCAATATTGCACTGTTGGCTTCTAGAGCAGAATTACTTTTTGTCAGTGTGGTTAGCCTGTGGGAAAGTTACACCCATTTTCTTCATCTATTTTTGTGTGGACATGAAGGTATCATTTAAAATAAGTGGCAAAATAATGTTACATTAACAGTATGCGTAATACAATTGATCTAGATTAATTAGAGCATGTGAAATCATGCCTGTAATTTCATTAATGATCCTGACTTTTATTCTGTATCTTTCATGTAAATCAAATTAATGTAATAAAAATAAGATTATGTTCTTAAGTTTTAATGAAGGCCTTTAAATGGTCAGTTGCTTTGATAGAATATCATTAAAATAGCATTAAATATCAGCTCTTCCCACAGTAAGAATTAGCAATAGAATTTTATTTGTACTTTTATGTTTAGTTTTCTGTAGAGCTTCCCCCTACTTGTATTTTTAGCAAACTAAGCAGTTAAAATTTGTGATGTTTTTTAATAAAATCTGGTTTGGAGACTCTTAGCATAAAGCATCTTTAATGGAAGTGTTTGACCCATGCTATTATTTCAAATTACTTTCAGTTAGATGTTTTAAAAAAATCTTGCTGATGCAGTCAGTGAATGAAAGCATTTTACTGCTGTATACTAATATATGTGTGTGATGGAATATTAAAAATGGAACCAGGTGTAACCTTTTTCCTATTCCTCCATTCCTAATCCATTTTAGTCTAATTTGATTTCCAGAACTTTATTAATAGAGTTTTCTATGCAAGTACTTCTTTCCTCTTACTGAGAGGCCTAATATCATAATTTTTTTTAAGCCCGATCTGCTACTGCAGAGTTTATCCCCCATGCAGACATTAATGTCTTACCGAGTGTTAAGTGGAAGATCTGCATGCTGTTCCTCTGTGTTCTGAGAACTTGCATGCTATGAAAATGTTAGCTGTTTAAAGCAGCAGCCTCAAGTTAGCCTCCTACTAACTAGCTAAAAAGGGCACTGAAATTGGTTCACAATATTAAATTATACAATTAAGGTAATTGTTTAATTCTTGGTAAAATCTTTTCTGAAGCACAGTACTAATTATAAGCTTCTCAGGTTATGATTGAGACTAACTGGTGATTTGCAGGCTATCCCTCCACTTCCCCAGAAAATACTTATGTAAATTGAAAAAAGCCTGAAGATTTTACCTGTGACTTCATTCGGTGTGTGATGTATCCTGTCCACCTTAAAATGTAGCATGAAATATTAGTTATGTACAACATTCTGAAAGAAAGTTAATATCTCTTTTAGCAGTCTTTCTGAGAATACTGAAGAAATTATGTTAAAAAAAAATGTGTGAAGGCATATGATTAGTCATATAAATTTGAAAACATTGAGACTGAAATCTTGAAAAAAAATTAATAAAAAGAAAAGAAAAAAGAAGCTTTCATTCTCAGGTCAGTCTCCCTCTTCTTCCTCCCTGACTTGCTAATGATCAGGGCTGGATTTTAGTGTTATTTTAACTTCTTGTTTATAGGTATAATTGAGGATCTGCATGCAGGTAACTTTGGCTACTTTTCACATTGCGTTTGCGTTCTTACACTCCCTCACAGTGTCTGTGCCTGCCTTGTTTAACCAGAACGACAGCAGTGGAGGGTGCATTTGCACGGTCTCTAACACTGGCTCTTCTCTCAACAGTGCGTTTATGTTCGGATCGACTTAGTCTTATCAAGGACTGTCTTGCTCAGATGCCAACAAACTACAAACAGTCTGCTAAGCTCCTGGGACTTGCAAATTTGCTAAGGGTGGCAGGTAAGCTCTGTTAATAAGACGCTGACTTGCAATTCAACGTGCATTTGCGTTATGCTTTAGGACATTCAAGTTGATCATTAGAATGTGTTTTCAAGGCTATCACTTAAAAGTCGCCTAGAGGAGCAGTCATTGGGAAGTAATCAAATATTTTACGTGAGTGAAATATTTTATTTTAAAACAGCTGATATTGCCAACTGCTCTGACCTTCCACTAATACCAGAATAAAACCAACCTTGTTTAATCTGAATTTTGAATAAAAGTGCATTTCAGGAGGAGTTGTGACTGAGAATATTTTGCCTTGGTGTTAATTGGTAGTCCTAAAATTACAGTAAATCTTATCATCTCTGTCATAGAATGGCATCATAGAATCATAGAATGGCCTAGGCTGGAAGGGACCTTAGAGATCATCTAGTCCAACCTCCCTGTCATGGGCAGGGACGCCTCTCAACTAGATCAGGCTACTCAAGGCTCCGTCCAACTTGGCCTTGAACACCTCCAGGGAGGGGGCAGCCACAGCATCTCTGGGCAATTTATTCCGAAGTCTTGCCGCTCTCATACTGAAGAATTTCTTCCTAAGATCTAATCTAAATCTATTCTCCTTCAACTTAAACCCATTTCCCCTTGTCCTGTCAGTGGACACTCGTGTAAAAAGTCCCTCCCCAGCCTTCCTGTAGATTCCCTTCAGGTATTGGAAGGCAGCTATTAGGTCCCCCCGAAGTCTTCTCTTTTCAAGACTGAACAATCCCAGCTCCTGCAGCCCGTCCTCGTAGCAGAGGTGCTCCAGCCCCTGGATCATCTTTGTGGTCCTCCTCTGAACATGCTCCAACAGATCCACGTCCCTCTTATGGTGGGGACACCAGAACTGGACACAGTATTCGAGGTGGGGTCTCACAAGAGCAGAGTAAAGGGGGAGAATCACCCTTGACCTGCTGACCACGCTTCTCTTGATCCATCCCAGGAAGCGATTGGCCTCCTGGGCTGCATGAGCACACTGCCGGCTCATGTTGAGCTTCGTCTATCTCTTCAGGGCTACTTTCAACCCACTCTGTGCCCAGTTTGTATTTGTGCCTGGGATTAGCCCGGCCCAGGTGCAGGACCTTGCATTTTGACTTGTTGAAGCTCATGCAGTTTGCACTGGCTCATTGCTCAAGCCTGTCAAGGTCCCTCTGGATGGCATCTCTTCCCTCAAGTGCGTCCATGGCACCACACAGCTTGGTGTCGTCGGCAAACTTACTGAGGGTGCACTCAGTTAATATGATTTAACAATAGTCACATTTAACTTACGAGGGAGAGAAGGTCACAATACATAACCTTTAGCTGCTATGTGAAGCATAGACAAAAGTCTGTCTCCTTTGTGCACTAAAATAATGTGTTAGCTTGGGTATTAATCTGAGGAGTGGAGCATTTTCAAGAACTGAATCCTGATATTAGACTTTTATTTTTTTAGATAGCCTGCCTAGAGCATCTGGCAGACCTTTTGATTTTTGAAAAGTAAAGTCAACTGCCAATCTGATACTGTTATATAAAATATTTCATGGTTCATGCAGTGTGGTTATAAAATCAGTGCATTCCAGGTTTGTTGCTGATACTCCTGGCTAGTCTCTTTATCTCTCTGTTTGTTAAATCACTTAAGAATTTTTTCTTTATTTCCAGGAAGGTTGCTATTGACAGTTTTTACCCAGTATTATATGTAGAGAGGGAGATGTTCAAGGGGTTTGGGTGAGGTTATGAACGGTGATACAGAAGTTAGGCTGTTGACCTCCTGAGATGCTGAAGTCCTAAGGAAAGAAGTTATTGGAAATGTCGTTACGACTCCGATAAGCTCACTGCTCTTATGTAGTGCTGCTACATGACTGATAGTGAGTACAGGGGGTGGTACCATGTTAGATAGCTGGATCCAATCTATGAATTTGTTCATTTTGAGTGGAATCTCCTTTCTGTAGAAAAATTGGAATGATAGTCCTTACGGACCTATTTTTCTTTGCTCGCAAGACTATTGGAAAAAAATACTTCCATTATTGGTTCGTAAGGCAAGATTGCTGTACAGCTCTTTCCTTCTCTTCTGCTTCCTCCCACATCAAGTTGAAATCTGTCAGTTTCTCTTAATATTCTGGGTTCTTTAGGCTAATGCTGTTGACTTCTTTTTGAATCTGAATGTTTCTCTTTGTGTGGGAAAAGGAAACGCAAAATCGACAGTGATTCCATGAAGCCTAAACCCACAAATTATTTTGTGCCCTAGTTGTAGAGCAGCATGTACAGTCCCTGAGATGTACCTTTTGAACTGAGAGCAAACCTGTGGCTCTCGTGTCCAGAAGGGTGGATTTACCATAGGTACAGAACTTTAGGGAATTCATATAGAACTCACGGATACAGTAATGTCTGTGTTATATGTGTGCTGGTGTTATAATCACAGAATCACACAGAATGTTTGGGGTTGGAATGGACATCGAAAGATCATCTAGTCAACCCCCTTGCCAAGGCAGGATCACCTCGAGTAGGTCACACAGAAAATATTATAATCACAGTGCCACTTACAGAGACACCAATGAAAGGAGAAATTTAATAGAGATACTTAGAGACAGGTGATGAAATGGCCTCCCGATTTTTCATTTCCATGTGTTAACTGGATTGGAGAAATCCAGGAGGAGTGTGCAAGGTGGTTAATTTTTTAGAGCAGGTGAATGATTTAAAAACTACTACTTACACTGCAAATTACTTGTTTATTCTAAGTGTTGGTCTCTCTGGCTTCTAATGGTTAACCTTGGGAATAGTGCTAATGGTTTTTTCTGTGCTAAGTATGGAATTTTAGTAGTAAAAGTGTATTTCGGGAATTAATCCAGGTAAGGGACACAGTATTTTGACACTTGATTTTCTTGTCTCTTATGCTCAATAACTCAGACACTTTGAAAGTTAGCTATTGGTTATCAAATAACACGTATTTGAAAGGAAAAAATAGCAAGAGAACATCTCCAGTAGTGACTTTGTGGGAGATGTGGGTATTTTTTTTTTTGTGTTTTTTTTTTTTATTATTTCTTTGTTTTAAAAGGTAGTTTTAAGCTTCTGTGATTAAAAGACATTGCACTGTCCCTGAGGAATGACTAGTTGAATTATTTATACAGAAACACTATTTTCTGTACAGACTATTCATTTATAAGCAAGGTACCAATTCAATATGAGAGAACTGTAGTTGTGTATTTTATCTAAACTTATTTGTTGTAGGAGATAGGCTGTGGAAAACAGTTTTCTTTTGTTTTAAGAAACTCAGTACTACTTTCATCTTTAAGTTTTTCTGGACTTGAAAGCTATAAACAGAATACTGCTGCTACTGCAGAGTTTTATGTCTGATATTCCATTGCATTGCCAAGTATCCAGGAAAGTATCCAAAAGCAAACAAAGGAAACGTGATTGACGTTGCTGTTTAAATCATGCATGCAACTACAATATTTTTCAAACAAATTAGACAAAGTCTGTAGAGCTTTACTCTTTAGTCCTCAATTACCACCTTATGTACTGATGGTGGAATAGGTAACCTTACACTGAATTTAAAATGACATGTGATTTTAATAGCTAGGTTAATAGTATCTTTAAAAAGAGATTTTAAGTGGAATGCTGGCATAGCCTTAATCATGGCCTGTAGGTGAAGAGTCTTGTAAAGTTTAATAGTAGGCATTAAAAGAAATAAAATGAAGGCATGACATGTAGAAATGTTTTTTTTCCGTATCTGTCGACTCTTAATTTAAATTATTGAGTTCAAATCAATTATTAATTTGTTGAAGAGTTATTCAGGACTTGGTAGCCATAAGAATGGTGAAAAATGCTAATATTATTCTACAAAATAAGTTTGTAACCAAAGGGCAGATCGAACATACAGATTTAAAGATTTTTATCTTTTAAACAGGATATTGGAAAAGAAATAACCTTCCTTGCAGTTTCAGCACAGGTAGTCTTTCTTAACAGGTTTAAAACTACTGGGAAAGCGTAACTTGATTTCTAACAGCTTGTGATGAAAGGGAATGGCTTTATGGAGATATATTGGGATGAGTCGGGATATTGAATAAGAATCTAGGGATTGAACTTTATGGACTTGCTTAATGAAGAATTAGATAAAGTGCTGCTGGAAGAAAGAATTGTTTTTCGTCCCTAATTGGTTTTCACTACTTGCACAATTATCCTGATTTATGAGCCACCTTAGGTGTGAAAAAAGTTCTGATTTTGTGTTTTGGAACATACTTACCGTTACTGCTTGTACGTGCTCAAATTGTTACTGATCCACCATGTGCATCTACCTCTAGAGTTCTTTCTTGTGTTTTATCAGCATTTCCCTCTTTGCTCCCCTGCCACTCCACCCCATATGATTACTGAATGTGAAAGACGTGCTTGCTACGTCTATCCATACATATATAAATTGTATACGTATATGTATGTATCGTGTTATAGTATATGGAATATATAGCCTATAAAGTACTACGAGCACATATATTTCAATTTCATATCTAAAAAACCACATTTGCTGTATGTGAAAGGGTAAAGTGCACATGGTCATGGGATGTGATTTGGGACCTGTGTTCTCTGAAACAGTTTGTTTAGAGAGCAGCACTGAAAACAATTATACAAGTATCACAGTTTGCTGGGGATTGGAGGGGACCTCAAAAGATCATCTAGTCCAATTCCCCCTGCCAGAGGAGGAACATTTAGATGATGTTACACAGGAACGCGTCTGGGTGGGTTTTGAATGTCTCCAGAGAAGGAGGCTCCACAACCTCCCTGGGCAGCCTGTGCCCGTGCTCCGTCACCCTCACTGAAAAGAAGTTTCTTCTCAAGTTTAAGTGGAACCTTTTATGTTCCAGCTTGATTCCATTACCCCTTGTCCTATCATTGTTTGCCACCGAGAAGAGCCTGGCTCCATCCTTGTGACACTCCCCCTTTATATATTTATAAATACTGATAAGGTCACCCCTTAGTCTCCTCTTCTCCAAACTAAAGAGACCCAGGTCCCTCAGTGTTTCCTCATAATGGAGATGCTCCACTCCCTTCATCATCTTGGTTGCTCTAGGCTGGACTCTTTCCAGCAGCTCCTTATTCCTTCTTAAATTGAGGGGCCCAGAACTGGACACAATATTCCAGATGTGGTCTCACCAGTGCAGAGTAGAGAGGAATGAGAACCTCTCGTGACCTACTAACCACTCCCCTTCTAATACACCCCAGGATGCCATTGGCCTTCTTGGCCACGAGGGCACATTGCTGGCTCATGGTAATCCTGCTGTGCACCAGGATCCCCAGATCCCTTTCCCCTACACTGCTCTCTAACAGGTTGTTCCTCAACCTATACTGGAACCTGGGGTTGTTCCTGCCCAGATGTAGGACACTACACTTTCTCTGTAACCTCCTTTCAGGCAGTTGTAGAGAGCAAGAAGGTCTCCCCTCATCCTCCTTTTCTCCAGGCTAAACAACCCCAGTTCTCTCAGCTGCTCCATGCAGGACTTGTGCTCTGGACCCTTCACCAGCTGCGTTGCCCTTCTCTGGACAGGCTCTAGTTCCTCAATGTCTTTGTAGTGAGAAGCCCAAAACCGAACACAGTACTCGAGATGTGGCCTCATCAGTGCAAACTACAGGCGTAAAAATCTCTCTCTTCCCTACTCCTGCTGGCCACACAGTTTCTGGTAAAGGCTGAGATGCTGTTGGCCTTCTTGGCCCCCTGGGCACACTGCTGGCTCGTGTTCAGACAGTTGTTGACCAACAGCTCCAGGTCCTTCTCAACACACAAGCTGTCACAGATAATGAATAGGAAACAAAAACTGAGATACCCTTTCTAGCTTCTGAACTTGATTTGCTTGAGTCTGAGTGTTGGACACTAAGGTTAAGACTTAAGGCAGAATTACTATGTAGTATAATAACGTTATATTGTAGTAGTTTTTCTCATTGAATCCTTGTGATTTTAAATCTTGCATGTCTGTCAAAGTGGCAAGGGGAACAGTTTTGAATCAAAACCCTCACTTTTATTAGATTTTTTTTTAATTAAAAATACCTTCAAATGAGGTGTCACATAGCTGGAGCAGTGAATTTTTTCATGTTTGAATAGAACAAGATGATGTGTCTGTACTGCTGTGGGTACTGTTTTCAGGGACTGCGCTTTGAGGCAGTGAAAGCCTCGTGAGCAAGGGCTCGGGCTGTGCATTGCAGGGGATTCACATGTCATGTCAGAGCTGACAGTTGTTCTGTGGCAGAACAGCCTGTGTCAAGGTAATAGAAGTTTAAATGAGTGAACATTGGAGGTAAGATGAGCAAGTACAACCATGGACTGAAAGGAGAATGATCTTTATATTTTGTGCTTGTGCTTTTGTACAACGTGTGGAGCTGTATCCTGCTGCATCAAAACTGAGCAGCTAAAACATTGGGGATGGGGACTTGTCAGCACATAACTGCTCAAGTACAGTTGAAGAAACACCGTTCCTTGCTTCAAGCGTTCCTTCTCTCTTCTCTCCGATCTCACTGATTTTTGAGTGGCAGTAAATAGCAATGATAGTTTTGTCTAGCTGAAATCTGGGGGAGAGCAGTTTATTATTTCTCTCACCTTTTATGTGTGTCTGCTACTTCAGTCAAATTTCTCTGTAAGCAGTAAAGCTGTCAGGGTGAAGTGGGCATCAGAAGGTGAGTGGCAAGTACGAATCTCTTGCTTATAGAAATGATAATTCACATTTAGCTTGTGTAGATAGAAGCACCTCTTTGTCATCTGTAATTGCTTTTGCCTGGATGAGAAGTTCCCAGGTTCCAGAGGGCAAAATTTTTCAACAGAAGAGCCTTGGATGTGATTAATTTGCGACATCGTGTGTTGGCAGTATATAGAGCAAGAGGCCGAAAGATAAAATGATGGGAAGCCAACCTGTTCTCCCAGCTGAATTCATCCTGATGTGCCGGGATTAGGGGAATCTTGATTGAGTTGAGTAATTAGGGTGACTTCACTTCCCTGAATGTCACTCTAGTGCAACTGCTTCATCTCTCCTTTGAGAAAATTTTAAAAATACTTCTGCTTTGCCTGTGGTGACAGACCTGCAAAGCAGAGTTAAAAATAACAGCTATGCAATTTAAGAACATGTACTCTTTAAATGGGTTTTTAGAACCAGATCTGTTTAACCTTCTGAAATATTTGCATTTCACAAGTTGTAGTAATGCAGTTTCATAAACCAGTGCCCTTTTCAAATGACTGTAACAGCAGTGACTGTGTAAAAAGTGCTTTTTAATAATAGGAGCGAAACAAGAGCAAGAAGCTTACCTTGAAAAAAACCACTTGTTTTTATTAGCTTCTTGCCATGTTTTTTTCCTACATTAAAATGAATAGCATGAGATTATTTTTAGTGTATATGTTTAGTCACCTTTTCATATGGCGTGTGGACATACATGATTTTGAGCGCAAGACTGGACCAACCGGTGCCAGTAAAACAAGTATGTTTCATTCTCATGTTCACTCTAAATTGGAAAAAAAGCTTAAAAATGGAAAGATGACTGATAAAGAGTGACAAGTATAAACGTTATTTGTATTGACAATAACTGCTTTTGAAAAGGAGATAAGTTATCTGGTTAGATTTTCATCCATGAATGCTAACATATTAAAATTAAGTTCAGGATATTTTTCTACAGAAATTCTTGATGAAACTTTAGTCAGAAGAGGTGAATAATATTTCAAGTGTTACTTTTTGATGCGTAACTGGGGCAAGAAGCATTGTCCAGGAGGTCTCGTGACCAAGATGCATTCGTGATATTTAAAAAGTTTCAGTTTTACTCACTCAATTTATGATGATATGAAACTGAGAGGGATGGCTGACACACAGGAAGGCATTGCTGTTATCCAGCAACATCTGGACAGACTGGAGAGCTGGGCAAAGGTGAACCTCATGAAGGTCAATAAGGACAAGTGTAGAGACCTGCATCTGAGGAGGAATAACACCAGGCACCAGTACAGATTAGGGGATGTCCTGCTGGAAAGCAGCCCCATGGAGAAAGACCTTGGAGTCCTAGAGGACATTAAGTTGTCCATGGGACAGCAATGTGCCCTTGTGGCCAAGAGGGCCAATGGGATCCTGGGGTGCATTGAGAAAAGTGTGTCCAGCAGGTCTAGGGAGGTTCTCCTCCCCCTCTACTGTGCCCTGGTGAGACCACACCTGGAATACTGTGTCCAATTTTGGGCTCCCCAGTTCAAGAGAGACAGGGACCTACTGGAGAGAGTCCAATGGAGAGCTATGAGGATGATTTAAGGGGCTTGAACATCTCTCCTGTGAAGAGAGATTGAGAGAACTGGGGCTGTTTATCCTTGAAAGGATTCTGTGATTCCACATTTCATCAAGTACTGGGCTCTATGAAGTGAGTCTTTAAAGTGGAGCTTTGTGCACTATAAGAAAACAATTAAAAATTTCAAAATTCTTCTTCCACTGCAGTTCACAGAAGTTTCTTTCAGTGTCAGGACATTGATTTATGTGTCACTTACCTTAAATATCAATTTAAATCTGTCTTGGCCATGATGTAAGTACAGTTTTCAAAACTTTTTTTTTTTTTTTTACCTAGACTTAATGTGTCATCTAATTTCTTTTAAGCAGCTATGATGCCAGTGTTTCTTAACATACTTAACTGTTTTTATTGTTTCCTTCAAGTAAAACCAGATAATTTTATTTCTGCTTTAATTCCAAGACTGACTTTTCAGGTTTTGACATATAGTTTTTACAAGAAATAAAGTAGAAAGCTTAAGTTGACCATTAATTCCAATTAACTAAACAAAATCGTTGAATTTTTCTTACAGGAGATGATCAGATGGAAAGAAAAGGTCAAGTTTTAATCCTTTTAGTGGAACAAGCTCTCAGTTTCCAGGACTACAAAGCAGCTAGTATGCATTGCCAGGAGCTTATGGCCACAGGTGAAGTGAATAAATGGGGGTTACTTTGGGTAATGGCGGTGGAGATCGGAGTTCTGACATGGGCTTACTGTGAAATATGGTACTTCAGCTTGATCCATTTCATTCAAAAATAAGTTACCTTTTTTCTGAGGAGTTCAACTGACATCTCCATGGAAGGAAGATTTGTACAGCAGATGTTGTACTTAATAGGATAGTTACCGAACTGTTAGACATGTAACCTTAGGGAACCTCAATTTCTCATTCTTTCTGTGTTGTACCCCTCTCAAACAGGTAAAAATATGTGACTACAGCTATTAGGAATGTGCAGGTCTTTTAGATTCTACTTTTTCTATCAAAACTCTTGGAATATTGGTGCGAATTGTGCAATTTGTGTATGTCAGAGAGGATATACATTACATACAGAGTGTCAAGATAATAAGGAGGATAGGATTTATATATCTTTTACTCTTCTGCGTTAATATTGAGGGGGTAAAATCTGAGATGAATTGACGTTCTTGAATGTGTGAAGTAATGTATTTTACTGTGTTTTTTTTTTTTAAGGCCACTGAAGTAAAAAGTTCGATATCATGTTCTGAAGTTAATTATGATTTTCTTATTGCAACATGTAGATATTTAGGGTGTAGGCTTACATATGCCTATAATCTTTTATGTATGTGGTCACTTTAAAGCTGAATTGTATCTCTGTTTTAAGGAGCCTTCATATTTCCTTTATCAGAGGATGTAAGTGTCAGCAAGAATGCCATGTGCCCTCTTTATCCCGTCCAGTAAGAGTTATGCAGCATCCTCTTACCACTTGTGAAGCTTACCAACGTCAGGGGTATGTTCTGTGTTCCACTGCAGGTTATTCTAAAAGCTGGGAAGTATGCAGCCAGCTTGGGCAATCGGAAGGTTACCAAGATTTGGGTATGCGCCAGGAACTAATGGCTTTTGCTCTGACACACTGTCCCCCAAGTGCCATAGAGGCGTTGTTGGGAGTGAGCAGTTCATTGCAAACCCAGGTGGGTGTTTCTGAAACTTCTTTCACACAGGTTCAGTGCTTACTGCTCATTTCTAAGTTTGTTCTCTTAACTTCCACCCCGCAACAAGTTTATATTTGTTATTCAACAAACAAAGCCTATCCATAAATATTTTTGTGTTGAACTGGCTTCTCGGCTAGAAGTGCAGTTGTATTGTCCATCTTTAGTACTTCCAGTTTCTTGATTTATTGCCTGATATTAACATTTTATTTTCACATGCAGTTAAATATATTTTTCAGTGTTTTCTGAGTGTTTACACCTTGTAATGCAACTTCATTAAATGCCCACATAAGTGTTTATTAAACCTTTGTTCTTCCATTTTTATGATCTCTACCCAGTGTAAAATGAAATTTTCTCACTGATTTCACCTGTGCAATGGTTTTAATAACTACTCCGACCTGATGTCTGAGCTATCTTTATTAACTCTGCAATGACTGACTTGTTAACAGAATCACATCTTAAATGTTCAGCTCATCATATTATGTATGTATTTAAATGCCACAAGTTATGACAAGATGACGTAGCAAACCTTTTGAAATTTTTATTTGAAACCACAGTGCAGTAATTTAGGTTGTCAAAATGTTAAATTTCTGTTCAGTGTAATTGTGGCTTAGCCTATGTCCTATTACTTGTTTCAGAGTTCATAATTGTCTTAGTTGTCTAGAGTTCACAATGTTCATAGATTTATCTTTGTGTAATAAAACACTTCTTAGAGAGCTTGCATTCTGTATTTGAAGAACGAGGGAGAAGGGAGCAATAGCTACAGTACATAGGCGGTCTAATTACGGCAGGTGCAAATGCATAGCCTTTTTCTTTACCAAATTGCTTGTATAGCAATGTGTGTGAGAGATACAGGCAACATATGAAGGCAGTCTGTGCTGCTTCAATAACAGGATAACATTACAGAGTGAAATGCTACAAAGGATTTGAAATAAAGTCTAGCTCCTGCAAGCTGTTTACTACTTTTTCATCATGAAAACACTCAAATTTGAGGGAGATCGGTGCAATGATGAGCTTTAATGAGTGGAATCTTTGCAGAATTGATACCTGTACAATATAGAAGTAAAAGCTTTTTTCCTTCCTTATGTACTTATACCTGGAATTAGAAGTCAGAAAAACTTTTGACAATGCATAAACCAGAATTAATTAGACTATCTGGATAGCCAGGTCCAAAGAGTGGTGGTGGTGATCAGTGGAATTAAATCCAGTTGGCAGCTGGTCACAAATGGTGTTCCCCAGGGCTCAGTGCTGGGGCCATTTCTGTTCAGTATCTTTATCAGTGATCTGGATGAGGGGATTGAGTGCACTCTTGATGAGTTTGCAGATGACACCAAATTGAGCAGGACTGTTGATCTGCTGGAGGATGAGGAGGCTCTGCAGGGGGATCTGGACAGACTGGATCGATGGGCCAAGGCCGGTTGTATGAGATTCAACAAGGCCAAGTGCTGGGTCCTGTACCTGGGTCACAACAACCTCCGGCAGTGCTGCAGGCTTGGGGAGAAGTGGCTGGAGAGCTGCCTGGGAGAGAAAGATCTGGGGGTGTTGGTGGGCAGCCGGCTGAACATGAGCCAGCAGTGTGCCCAGGTGGCCAAGAAGGCCTGGCTTGTATCAAAAATAGTGTGGCCAGCAGGAGTAGGGAAGTGATTGTGCCCCTATACTTGGCACTGGTGAGGCCACACCTTGAGTCCTGTGTGCAGTTTTGGGCTCCACTAGAAGAAAAACGTTGAGGTGGTGGAGCTCATCCAAAGAAGGGCAATAAAGCTGGTGAAGGGTCCAGAGCACAAGTCTTGCAAGGAGCGGCTGAGAGAACTGGAATTGTTTATCTGGACGAAAGGAAGCTGAGGGGAGACCTTGCTCACTACAACTACCTTAAAGGAGGCTGTAGAGAGATGAGAGTTGCTCTGTTCAATCAAGTAACAAGCAATAGGACAAGAGGAAATGGCCTTAACTTTCACCAAGGGAGGTTTAGATTGACAGCTGAGATTTAGGAGAAACTTCTTCAGTGAAAGGTTTTTCATGCATTACAACAGGCTGTCCAGAGAAGTGGTTGAGTCACTATCCCTGGAGATATTAAAAAAGCTGTAGATGAGGCACTTAAGGCTATGGTTTAGTGATGGACCTGGCATTGCTAGATTAACAGCTGGACTTCATAAATGTCTTTTCCAAAGTAAACAGTTCTATGAATTCACTGCTTCTTATTGCTGTCTCATGCCTTCTGAAGGCTTCATGTTCTGTAATTGTAATGCAGAGCAGCTGCTCAGCCACTAGTTAATACCCTGTTGCCCAGTTCTCCAATGGAGAAGATTTCCTGTCTTCTCAATTCTCAAAAATTTTAGACTGAATTTGTTGCTCAGGTTTCTTCATTAGTGCAATAACATTTGTGATACCAGTGCAGTGATGATTAATTTAGTATTTGCCCAAAGAAGTCAAACTCAAGTCATAGGTAAAAGCATGTTTAATCAGTTTCTTCTGCAAGTACTTTCTCCGTAAACAAAGCACAACATTTTCAGTTCTGTCGTGGTTTAACCCCAAACAGCAGCTAAGCACTACACAGCTGCTTGGTCACTCCTCCCTACTCCACTCCCCACGCTGACCTGGTGAAATGGGGGTGAGAATAGATAAAAAGGTAAAATTGTGAGTCAGGATAAGAATACTTTAGTAGTTGAAATAAAAATAAAAATATAATAATAGTAATAATCATAATGAAGAAGAAGATAAGAAAAAGAAAGAGAAATAAAAACCCAAGAAAGACAAATGATGCACAATCCAATTTCTCTCCAGCCTCTGACTGATGCTCAACCAGTTGTCCCACCCCTGGCCAACTCCCTCTCAGTTTATGTAGTGGTCATGATGTTATGTGCTATGGAATATTCCTTTGGCCAGTTTGAGTCAGTTGGCCTGCCTGTGCTCCCTCCCAGCTTCTTGTGCCTCTCTGGCCTTCTCGCTGGCAGGGCATGAGATCCGAAAAATCCTTTATTTAGTATAATCATTACTTAGCAACAACTAAAACTGTCACTGTATTATCAACATTATTTCCATACTAAATACAAAACAAGGCGCTATATCAGCTACTAGGAAGAACATTAACTCTACTCCATCCAAAATCAGAACATGGTCCTCTATGTCCTGTCCAAGCACTCTGGCTTTGTACGTAGATAGATATATACAAAAGATCTTTATCGGAAGGTCATGCCAACTAGATGATATTAAACGACAAGACAGCAATAAATGTTGTCGACCTTCGTCAGTTCTGTGCGCTGTTTTCTGTTCATAAAATTATATTGTGTAACTCTTACCTCTGTGGATTAGACCAGCACCTCTGAGGTATATTTTCAGGTATTTATATTTAGATTTTTTTTTTTGCTGGAAGTTCTTTAGACTACATATTACAGCAGGGTGCATATAATTAATACAATTAAAATATAGTTATATTGTGTGAAAAATATTACACAAAAATCACAGAGAATCATAGAAAGATTTGAGTTGGAAGGGACCTTAAAGATCACCTGGTTCTGACTCCCCACCATGGGCAGGGACATCTCCCACTAGCCCAGGTTGCTCAAATCCCCATCCAGCCTGGCCTTGAACCAGGGATGAGTGATTCACAGCTTCTCTGGGCAGCCTATGCCAGTGCCTCACCACCCTCAGGGAGGGGAAGGAAAGCCGTTCTGTCTGGGGACGATATCAGTGAGAGGATGTAAAACACACTTGGTGTTCTGCCCGTCTTCCCCCACACTCTTGTTTTATCTGTCATGGAAGCTTTTACCTCAGAATTTCTTGAGATTCCTCTGCCATGAGTCATAATTCTTACATTTGATTGTTTGACTGGTAAGAATTTATATTTATTTTGTATTTATAGATTCTTTATCAGGCTGTGAATTGCCAGTTTCTTCCATCAGAAGGAAGTGAGAATGTAAATATCTCAGGACCTTCTTCATTGATCAGTAAGGATACAGAGGTAAGAATTAAAGAAAGTTTTTAAAGTCGTAATGATTTGGTTCTGCATGATGCTGAAGAGCTAAATCTGCTTTTTTAGCAACATCTACCTGTTTACTAGATAAAAGGCAAAATAAAGATATCTACTGATTTCTATTGTTAAATTGTTTTAAGTTCAAAGTTTTGCTTATGTATTTATACTTAGTCTGTTCTGATATTTTGTTACTTATTTCTGAACAGTCTTGTTTCCTGCACCATAGGAAAAAAGTATAAACCCAGAGGCAGAAGAGGAAGGTGCAACAAAACTTAACACAATAATAATATACATTAATGTTGGTTTGATTTTTCATCTTTCGCAAGTGCAAAGCAAAACATTTGATAATAAACCTAAGCTACATATTTAATTAAAAAATGTTTTCAATTAAACTTACTGTACACTTGGGATAGACATGTGTATGTACATATACTTATTTGAATATATGTAGAATAAATGGACAGGAAAGTAAAATAACACTGAAAATATTATTCAGAGGAAGAGAGCTAAACACTGTCTGCTAGAATCATTAATAGGGACAGCAGGTCTGTTTCACTTGCATGAATACTTTATATTTTCTGAAAGTCGATAAATGAATCTGAGAGGAAGATTGTTGAATAGATGTTAAAAAAATTGCAGAACCTTCTGATGTGGGTGTGGATGCACATGTTTGCAATATTTTAATGTATATAACAAATTTGTCACACAGCACCTTTCACGTGCTATAGTACTATTAACTGTATGTTGTGACAGAACAATTATATAAGCATGTAAATGATTCAGAAACTTATTCAAAGGTTTATCAGAGTTGAGTAAACTCACTAATTAACTTCGCTGTCAGTTCAGTTTGGTTTTCTGAAGCAATTTTCATAATGCTCGGGGATTCACATCCAGAAAATGATCCCCTCTTATTTTCTCTCATGTATCTTTCATTTTTTCCCCTTAGTTGTGATTGATTGTCTGTTTAGAATCTGAAGTAGGCAGACAGTTGATCTGGCAAGTTTGTATGTTGCCGCATTGAGGGGTTTTTTTTACCTTTGTTTTTTTGGCATGCCACATTTCAGACTGTTGCACTTACGAAATGAATTCTGTGTATTTGTTAATTCTCTCTTTCTGGTCTCTCCCAGTTGACTTAATAGGGCTTTATAAGTTTTTTCTTTTCTTGCAGTGACACAGGAGGAAACATAACCAAGAATTTAGTCAGTGTATAACCCTTCCTTTGTTATAGGCATCTGAAATGTTAGAAAAGCAATATATTCTGTAACTCAGTTTCTCTGACTTGACTGAATCCCATAACTGCAATCCTCACCATTCCGCTTCAGCTAATTGCTCATGCTTCACCTTCATTGTCTTGCACAGAATTTCCGTTTCTTCTAAGAAAACGCAAACTACAAGATTTTATTTTTTAACATTTCTTTTTACTCCCTTTTTTCACTTAAGTCCTGATTAACTTATAGCATCCTTTTCTCAAGGAGTTGACAAATGTCTTTCTCACTGATACCTTTTCAAATTGATGCTCTAAATATAATTTTTGTTAACCTGCCTTGACTAAACTAAGCTTCTTCTAGCGTATGTGTGTATGGGCACCCCTTTGTGTTAAAAATACCTCTCTGTAAGTATATCAGTTTTCCCTTTCAAAGCTTTACTGACTTTTTTCTACCTCTTCTTACCTTCATCTAATACTCAGTCATCACTTGCTATTACCATTTTTTCATTATACCAGCCTCCATCACCAGCCAGTCATACTTGTCAATCTTTCTGCTCTTGATGAACTCCTCTCTAGAAATGTCTAAACTTACTTCCCTTGTGTGGGTTGTTTTTTTTTTAATTTTTTCCTCTGAAACCTTTTTCCCATGAAACTTGCAGAAGTCTTGATAGCAGTTGACTACATATCTCCACAGATTGCACAGAATCGTAGAATTCTCGGGGTTGGAAGGGACCTTAAGGATATCTAGTTCCAACCCCCCCGCCATGGGCAGGGACACCTCCCACTAGATCAGGCTGCTCAGAGCCCCATCCAGCCTGGCCTTAAAAACTTCCATAGAAATGTGTCATTTAACATTGCTGTCATACTGTCTTCACTATAACTTTTTTCTAAGTTTTTGGTGGTCCTATTCTAAAGGAAATTCCTTAAAGAACATAATTCTTCTGTAGGAGCTAATGCATTTACACAGGACTATATTTCATTGCCTTGGTGCCAGCTTGTTTTTGTTGACTGAACTCATTGGATCTGTTGGAGAAACTGTCCTTTGGAAGCTACAATTATTCCGATATAGCAGATTGTTTTTAAGCCAAATGTGAAGTGTCCCCAATCCCCACCCTTTTTGGTATGTACACTATTTCAGCTACTGTTGTAGTCAGGGGACATCGCGTCAGTGGTATGTACAGTAATGCAGTTAATCAGCCATTAAGTGCTTGATTCAGTTATTTAATCATAGATATCAAGAATCTAGGGTGCCCTAAGTTATACTCCTGTCCTTTAGCTACTGATGCAAAAAGTCTAGATCCTCTGTCAGATCTACAGGTGACAAGCAGATACCTTAATTACTGCCGTGTATTTCATGCAGCCATCACCTCCTGTGTTTAAGCAGCTGGATCCAATGCATTGTGTATGCTTGAGGCTGGGTTACTTTTTCAGTTCCAGTGACATTATAGCCCTAATAAGAGCTTAGACATCCAGTGACACCTGAACTTTAATGTTGTCATCTTGAGCAGAACCTTTTTCATAGCCTCTTGTCTGTGGTCTGGTTTATCTTTGCAGGACTGGAGTTTTCAATTAGACTGGTTCATTAACTGTAATATATGTTATAAAAACAACAACAAAAGCCACAACCCAAATCAAAACGCTTCAAGCCGCAAAACACAGATATAGGACAAACATAAATGCTTATATAAAAGAGACTATTTGAAGTACCTATTTTCCAGTTGAACTATTAAAAAAAGGAAAAATAAAAAGGGAAGCTAATGCTTGCTACTTAAGAACAGAATCTGTTCCAGCTGACTTTGTTTCCGTCATAATCTTAATGAAGTTTGGTTTTTGCCTGTTTTAATCCTTACACCTTGACTAACTGGCCTTAAAAACAAAACAAAGCAAAAATGTCCATGTAGCAAGTGTCTTCTGCGGATTATTTAAAAAATAGTTGGCTTTGTTACTTGTCCTTGCGTTAGACTTAAGTTACATAGATGTGTATTGATTTAATATTAATAAGTTATTGTTCTTGTTATTTTGATTTTAATCAGAAGTGCTTACTTTTATAAAGGATATCAGGAAGAAATAATGTAAGAATATAATTTCTCCCAAACATCCCTTGAAATCCTCAAACTATAGCTTCCTCTTGAAGATGGAGTTGAAGCAGACTGTTAAAGTTGTCTTCTTAAGATGGGATCTCCGACAATCTTTAATAAATCATTTGTTTTATGAGATATTGATTCAGGACAGCAAAAAGTTATAGCCTGAAAGTCTTTTTGTTCCAGGTACACAGAGGAATAACTTTTCAGAAAACAGAATTCTTACTGTGCAGAAAAGACTATAATTACTCGTAAGAGTTGAAATTCTTTTTAGAAAAAAATCAATAGAATTTGTCTGATATTGGTGGAGCTATAGAAGCATAAATACCAGCATACAAGTTAGCCCATTAGTCCTCACACTACTATAGGAGATTTATTTTAAAATAAATGTGTTTTGCTCAAATGCGGTTGAGAATTTTGAGAGGGTGGATTTTTTTGTGTGTTTTGATTTGGAGGTTTTTTTGGTTGTTTTTTTACATGAGAAAGAGCTGATGCAGAAAGCACCATTTGTGGAAATGTCTTCTACTTTTAATAATTGACTTATATGCGAGCTTACTGTAGTTTGCAGGATAACGCATAGATGTGTACGTGCATGTGTTACAGAAGCAGTTTGAGACTGAGACTGAGCATAGGCTGGGGTCTCCATTCTTTTTTTGCATTCCTTTAGGTTTACTAGATTTGATACCTTGGAAGTGCTTACTGCTGCATTTCAAATCTTGATAATACTTTTTCAGTTGTTCTAGAGATGAATGTTTGCATCTTTTCATGTTTCTGCTTCTGAGAATTCAGCTTAATTAATACTACCTCTGTACAAATACCAGATTGTCTCTACTGTGAGCTTTCTTGGATTATTGAAGATTAATGTTAGTATGTGCAGTCTTCTCATTCGCAGAGACATCATTATTTTAACAGAAGCATTCAACAAATTTGTAGAATACTACCATTAGTAAGTCTGGAACTAAAAACAGCTGGTGTGTTTGGTAACAAGAGCTTATAACTGAATAAGGGGCAAAACGTTCAGTTAATCGTGCTACTCGCTTGAGACTGAAACTCCTAAATAACTTTTAACTTGTCTTTTGTTTGTTTTTATGACAACTGCTGCTTCAATTAATGATCGTTAAAGTATATTAACATAATGTGCTTGAACTCTAATGCATTTGGCTTTAGGTCATTAGTCTAATTAAAGCCTAACACTTGCCGTTGTGTGTTGGATATGCTCACAGGATGAAAGCAATGACTCCTCTAGCCAGTCTGCTGACTTGTTGTACTGGACGACATCCAAAACCATGAAGGTGTTGTCTAACACAACTCTGACTACAAAAGCCATGCTGCATGCTGTCAGTGATGGACAGTGGTGGAAGAGATCTTTAACTTACCTTCGGCCGTTACATGTAAGGGATTGCTGGTGTGTCTCCACATGTTGACACGTTCACTGCTGTATTAATGTAAAAGCTGGGCTTCTTTGTAGGTATCTGCTAACTGAAGACCTCACATCAGTAAAGGAACTCGAGATATCACAGGATTGTTTGTAAGCAAATCCGAAAGAAGGGGTCTGAAGCTGTTTCCTTTTATTCTCCGACCTGTTTTCTCCTGCTGTGTTAGCATAGTGTGAGAAGGCATAGTCGAAATTTGGCAAAACTTCAGAACTTTTGGGAAGAAAGCACAGCGAAGCCTACTCTTTAAATACTGTCATTTTATATTCAAAGCTCCTCCTTTTCAGTTTATCTTTTTTCCTTTCTCTGTTTCAGTGGATTTTCTATAATGTTTATGATACTAGTTTTTCTGATATTGCTTTTAAGCGTGATTCTCTTTCCTCTTTAAGAATACTGGACCTCATCCAGCATTCATTTATGTAATATCTTGCTCCCCACTGAATTCAATGATATTTTCATTTACAGTTGTTTTCCTTCTGAAGAGGAGTTACAGACTTTTTAATTATCTTTTTTACAACTAGTCTCAACCAAAGTTTATTTCCTAGGGACAAGACATGTTAAAATGTGGGCCTGGAGAAAATGTCAGTGTGGAAAAACAAGGCTGTCATCCGTTTTATGAGTCTATAATCGCTGATCCATATGTTGCAGAAGTAAGTGTTACAGAATTATGAAGTTGCGATCTTACAATTAAGTAAAAATATGAATTTTGAATTATTTATGTGACTTGAAATTTTATGCAATAGTAGGGAAACAGTCTGGAATTAAATAGAAAAGAAGGCATATGCAGGAACCGAGGTAAATAATTGCATCTGATGCAAGTGAGCTAAATATAACTGCAGGGTGTAGTGCGCATGTGTCAGTTACCTTATTTTACTTCTAGTCTGAAATCAGCTATGGCACATACCAGAACAATTCTTTGGAAAGCTTTGCAGAAGTATTGCTGAGAACAGAGAAACTGACGGAAACAAAGAGCAAAGGAAAAGACCTACTTCCAACTACAGAAGGTATGGGTGTGTGTATATTCATTCTTGTATTTACAGGATGTGGTAAATACAGGGGGTTCTACGGGTGGATCTGAGTGTGGAGAGTTGAACACAGCTATCTGAAGTATTGTCTTGTTATTTTGTGTGAATTTTGATCTGATTCAACATGTTGCTTTGGTAGGTAGTATAAAATTAGCTTCAAAGTTTTCAAGTGTTTTTGAAAGGAGTTGCACAGTGAAGACGAGAAATCTGAAATTTGCAGTTGGCTTTAGGTAAGCAGAAACTGCGTATTGTATCATATCATGGCCTAAGCTGGAAGGGACCTTAGAGATCATTTTAATCCAGCCTCCCTGCCGCCAGGGACGCCACCTCTCGACTAGATCAGGCAGCACATGGGTACTGAACGGGAATCAAACCCACAACCTTAGCGTTGTTAGCGCTACGCTCAACTGACTGAGCTAACCGGCCCCCTTAGGAGTTAGTGACATTTAAAGCCAACTTATTTAAAGCTAACTTTCAGATTTCAGATTTGGGGCTGACGCAGATATAAACGTTTTAGGAGGGAAAGTTGAGTGTCCAGAACACTCCCATGTGGAGATACTTAAATGGAAATTTGCAATCAGTGTTTATATTGTTTCCAAGTATGCCTGTGTATTCACTTGTTCAAAGTCTGTGCCATGGTTATGCAGCTTTCAGTGTTGCAGGGTCATTACAGTATTTTATTTGGTAATTAATCCTTAACTGCAGCTCTGGAATCATCCAAATTTTTGTCTTCTTTTCAAATGTCTACGTTTTGTAAGTTATGAATTTGTTAACTGAAACAGTTTCACTTTTTTTAAAGACAAGCATGAAATCACACAAACTCACCTATAATTGTCCTTACTTTTGGCTGTGTCATGATGGTTTAAGAAAATGTGCTGTTTAAATATTTACATGCTGTTAGTCTCTTTTGAAGGAAGAGATCTATATTGTATTTTACTCTGTGGTAAATTCTGCCATGAAAAATGAGTATATTAAATCACCTGCAATATGAGAAAAGTTTCAAGTGAGAGTTTCTTCATAAGCCATGCAGTTTTAGTGAAAACCAGCATATTTGGTGTACATGCCTATGAGTAATTTGAGATATTTTCCATTTTTTAGCCTCTATTTTCTTCCTATTAAGTGTGTGCAGACTACCGTTTTTACCTTTTTAATGCTTTTGTTCTCTTCTACCACCTTTATTCTGTAGTCAACCTGATTTTCACTTACGAGTCCCTCCAGCTGTGCTATGCATCTGATAGTTCTTTGTTTTTCACTGCAAAACTGAGCTATATTTATTCTTTGCTTAATCAGTTCCCGTGAGAGTCCTTATGATGAGTTGATACTTTCAGGATTGTGGAACTTGAAAATGTGCATATTAATGGCGCCTTACTCAAAATTAAAACAACACGCAGATGTGAACTACACTTACTATTTTCTGGTTTTCAGATTTACTGTAAGGTGTTTTGGTTTTTTTTCATATAAAACTTGAATGCTAGTATGAGTTATTAGCTACTATACTAGTAAGTACCAAAGGGCGGGTTTCATTTGATTTTGCTGTCAAGTTTGAATCCTGTTTGTTTCCTTCTAGCTATCAGCTAGGAAAACTGCAGCAGCAGGTTTTCGGCTCCGTTAGAAGAACTGACAAACCTGAAAGAAAATGTGGTTTAGCAGAGAAACCCTAGTTGTAATTAGCACATTGTCTTAGGAGAAGTTGAAGTGTCCATCCAACTCCATTTCTATTACGACAGCAGTGCCATCCTCCAAGTGTGAGGGAGTGGCTAAACACTTGCCTGGTCAAGCTCAATAGAATGTTTGCTGCTTCCTTTGTGGATTTGGGAGCGTCACAAGCCTTGAACTTTGACTTTTCGTCTCCATTCTGTCTGGATGTAGGTGGTAGACTGAGCATTTTTGAGTGAAGTGGTAGCACCCATGGCTTTGGGTCCAGTAAAACACTCCTTGCTTAGTTGTGCCGTTCTAGTGCACCCGAATGTAGCGTGACCAAGCAGGGTTGTGCAGCCCTGCTTAACTGTAGGTGTCTTTCTCCATAGCCCTTAGGGATTTGATGGGGAGGTTAAAGATGAGATCTGAATGGGGAGTTACTATAATTGATGGCTGCATTTCATTGTAACCAGATTAGGTACTAATCTCAAAGAAAACCCAAGAAAAGTCAGTCATACCTGTTAATCCTCAGGATCTTTAGAACAAGGAATAGTTTAATGCCTTCTGTGATTTTGTATTTGTTTGCAGTTATGACTGTTTAAACTTAAAAAATATGTTATGGTTAGTGAGATTTTGTCATATGCTAAATGAACAATTAAAGACTTGAAGAAGTTTTCTGTGTTTTTTTTTCCTCTAAAAAAAATAAAAGTGTGAAAAGTTGAAACTTCCTAGGCATTGATAAATTAGGTTTTCACAAAGAAACCGTTTTCTTCCCTACTTTGCCTTCCAAACAGGCTTATAGTATAAAGTAAAAACCTGCACAGGAAATAAGTAATTCATAAAATCAAATCTTTCGTGTGTTTTCGTAAGGAAACACTGTTTACAGAAGAGCAGCATTGTCCCCTTGCTCGTCACCACCTGTCTTCCTTGGTTTGTCAACCCAGTAATGTTTAATCCCTTTAGCACATTTAAAATTTGTCAGGCTTCTGAAGTGATACTAAGTTCCTGTAAATTCTGTGAAGTGGTGTGAGAGGACAGAACGGTGTCCTGCTAATGTCCATAGCCTTTGATTTCAACTCGTGCCTGTTTAGACATTCGAGAATTGCCACAGGGAGACAGAGAGCTGCATGAAATGACCCTTTATGTATCTGTGTGTGTGTGTAAAGGCAGTGTCTGTAGATGGATATATGAATGCATATCTGCACACAGAAAATTTGAATTTATTGAATCAGTACAGGGGATTTTTTTTTTTCCTCAGAGGAGATGACAATGGTCTGTCTTTTTAAGTACGTTTTAGCAACTGGGATGCCTTTCAGCTTCATGCAAGAGCATGAATCAAATGGTGTTGTTTTCTGGCCTTGTATTGGTGCTGTGTTCTTTGTCATGATTGCTATCAGAGGGGTTAAGGTAAATTTCTGCTAGTGTGGCAGCTGTCATGTTAAGACTTTAAGTTGGAAGAGAACCCACAATTATATATTCCTGAGGTTTTGCAGTCATTACGTTTCCAGAGAAAGGGAGAAGAGGGCAGAGCCCAAATTCTTCTTTCCTTCCTCTTGTTTTTTTCTGTTCAACTGGAGGTGACTTTAAGAATATATAGAGTAACTTCCCTCGTGCTGGGAGTGGGAAATGCCAGTTTTGCAAACTAATTGAGATTTCAGTGTTGGATATTTCTAGCGTCCTGTCATCTTTGCTGGGACAGCACACAGGTTATTTTGATTGTAGCAGAAACAAGCTCTCAGCACAAGGAAGCTACTTTGGAAGCTGTTGGAAGCCCAGAGCAGAGATCTGTGGGCAGGCTTCTGTCTGCGCTGACCGTGACGTGGGGCTGTGTAAGCAGCCTCTGCGGGGACTCGTCACATGGAAATTGGGTTTCTGTGTCTGGCTGAGGGCCAGCACGTGAATCCACTTCAAGCTGATGGCAAATTAATGATAATCCAAAAATTGTAATTGGTCATTCGAGACGTTTTTAAATTGTCCTTTGGACCAAAGAATTCTCAGGAGAGGCAGCAGGAGGGGACTGTGTGTGTGAATAAAAGGGCTTCGTGGCAGCGTGCCCTCAGCTGTAGTTTGTGTAATTTGGAAATACAGGTATTTGGAACTTGCTTAAAAGAAACAAAGAGCTAAATTGCTGGAAGATGACATCTGCTGAATGGACTAGTAACAACAACAACAAAAATCATCCTCATCATAATCTATAAAATAAGGAGGCCATAATGTTATTTACTGGTATACTTACAATTCCTTATGCAATTTCTGGTCCAGATTTCATGAGATTTTTAGAGTTGTCCCTGAAACTATTTTTTTTTTTCTACCCTCCAAACTTCATATTAAGAGTATCATGAGAAGTGTAATTCTGTAATATTTTGTTGGAACTTGCATAGCAACTGCAACTGCAGTGATGCTTGACTTCAGTATAGAAGAAATTACCCGCATGAAGGAGTGATCCTGTTATTAATTAGCAAATCTTGGGCGCTCACATTGTGTCATTTATTTGTTCTCCTATTTGTGTTTCTTTAAACAAAAAAACAAGTTTAATATCGATAATACAGGAAAAGCAGGTAATTTTTGTATAATTATTCTTCAATGCATTAATTTCAACTGTGTCATGGTGGTATTTCTGTTTGCAGTATGTGGCAGGACCTGATTTTATTTTTTCACTGATCTTATTTAAAATTCATATGACGCAGCTTTTAGGCTTTTTAGGTTTGGGGTTTTTTTAAGATAGAAGTTTTTAATGTGGTTTGTTGTGTTCAGTAATAAGTGAACTAAACCTCAGGCTTGAAGGCATTTTGTACTGTTGCTCCGACTGGTGTCTTCGAAGTCTTACAGCATTGTATTACTGCCTTGATTTTATAAGCAAATGATTTAGTACTTGTAAATCGGTACAGGTGATATTTTAGTGACTTTGTTCAGCATCTGTTACTGCATGATCTTGTTGTTGTTTGGTTAATGCATCAAACACTTTGCCTGGAAGTCAAGGTAAAGTTGTGCTGCAGTTTAATTACATATTATTTCTTTCTGGATTGCACTGATAAGTGTTTAATTAAGTATCTATAGAGTGCTTCAGGCTAGTGTCTAATAAAATATGGTTACACTGAAAACATTTCATTTGCTAACTGTCAAGACTTGATGGGTCAGTAATCAAAGCTTTATTTCTGTTCCCTGTATATCGCAGTTCTGCTACAAATGGCGAGTGATGCTTTACCCAATGATATGACCTTGTCCCTTGCCTATCTACTTGCACTGCCAGAGGTATGTTAGTAGTGGTTTTTTTCATTTGTTTTAACCAGGAAAGATTATCCATAGCATTTTGAAATTCCTGAAGAAGATGTAATTTCCTTAGAGTTTTAAAATCTATGATTTTGAATTAATTTTAAAACACATTTTTATAGAGTGGACTGGTGCCTTTAAAGGAAGACTGAACAAATCCCATTGGACTGGCTTAGGAGCATGGTACTGGCAGAAAACCTCACATTTTTGTAGTGAAAATAGTAGTTGGGCCACCTGACTGACAGTTCTCAGGTAGCTCAGAAATATGAGTAATGACTTTGTGGCATAGAAGCAGCAGAACTGTGGCTGGAAAACCATTTTGGTTAGATGTGTGTGTGAGGGGCGGAAAAATATCGTAATGTAAAATTATCTTTGTGGATGTTCTGTAGGTTACCAATTTACTTCTGTGCCAGAAAAACCATAGTCGGAGCTATTTCTAAATCACAGCAAGCAGCTTTTTAGAAAGTTTGTGCACTTAATGTTGTATGCTTGCTAATTCTTTCATCTAAATTAATGTTCTCTTTCTCCTAGGTGGTGGATGCCAACAAATGCTTTGAAAAGCAATTACATTCTGCGTTATCTCTCCAGCTGGCAAGTTATTACTACAGCCTGCAGATCTATGCTCGTTTGGCACCATGTTTCAAGGACAAATGCCACCCTCTCTACAGGGTTAGTACTCTTTCTTTTTAAAACCATATTCATTAATGTGCAGCATTAAAGCTATTCTAAAAAGCCAGTACATGAGTTAAGCCTGTTAAGGAGCTGATCTGACTTACTCTGTGAGCAGCCTGTTAAGTTGCACATAATTATTCTTCTGCGGTGCTGTAAACAGACAAATACTTCACAATTTGTGGAAGAGTTTTTGAAGCACAATATCAAGTGTCATTTATAGGTAATAGCACTATAAGTCTTCAAAGTAGCTTATAAGCACTGAACAATAATGAGCCCAGCCTGTGCTGTCACCTTGCGATGCTGATACAATACAGTACTTCCTAGGAAGAGTCAAGTGTCTGTTCCAGCAAGAATGGTGCTATTTAAAGTTTGCATATGGTGTTTTGAAAATTCATCCTCATTCATTGATGAATTTGTTGATCTCCTTTGACAAATGTCCCTCTGAGATAGCACAGCTGTACTTCTTATTCATTGCATGTGAGTAAAGCAGTTAGTGGTAAACTGAGCTAAACTGAAGAGGTGAAAAGTTTAGTAAGGCACTGATTGCCATTTCTACTAAGATACCCGAGTGAAAACTCTTCGTTGGGGCTCCAGGAGAGCCGTTCTGAATTTACATTAGCCCTTTCCTTCGGAACAGAAGCTTCCTGGACTTCTGGTTTTCAAGCCCAGCTCTACATGGCAGCTAAAAGAACGTTTCTGGTCACAAGGTTCCTGAAAAGCGAAGCCATTAATCGTGGTCGTGGCATGAGAGGAGATTTTTTGACATGTTCCACACAACTCCTGATTTATAGAGGAAAGCCTGTTTTGATATCTGTCCAGTTCTGCAGCTAGGCAACCTTTCATGTTCCTCTCTTCTGTTTGGAAGCTAAAGGAAAACTTAGCTCACAACTGAAATCTGCAGGGCTTGCAAAAATATTGGTTGTGAAGAATTCATTCTTGTTTGTAAAATAGCTTTGTTTGAGCCCAGGTCTACCTGCTGCAAGGCACTTTTGATGAAAAAAAAAATTGTTTTTTTTTAGTTTATCTTTTTAAAACAGTCTTATTTTAAAGAAAGAGGTGTGCAGCCTTTTGAAAGAGTGGCTTAAGATTGAGGACAGAGTTGTTAAAGGCTGAACTATTTCTGCTCTAATTGCTACATAATAAGCAAAATCTTATTAATAGCATGATGTAGTTTATCTTTTACTGATATGGTCTTTGGCTAAATCTTTTGTATACTGTATGTGAATGTGATATACAGATGATTTTAGGTTGGTTGTTAAAAAGATTATATACAATGTTTAAATACTACCCTTAAACAGTAGCTTTTAAAAAATAAGATCCTGAATGAGGAGTACACCAAGGAAGAAAAAAGGTCTGGATGACCACTAAGAGAATACAGGAGAATTCACTCGCTGTTACTATTTTTAAGGGTGTCCAGTTAGGGAATATCACTGAAATGGAAAAGTAAAAATAGAATCAGATGAAAAATAAATACTCTTTTTGTTGATTTATTATGACAGGGGAGGGAGGCACAAGAAACCTTCCAGACTTAAATGCTCAGTTTTCACTGTGAAACAGTCATTTGGTTAAATGTGCATCTTAGATGCTCCACTTCCAAGTTGCTTTCCTCAGTGACATACCAGTTCCTATCCATGGGAACAAATCTAGCCATTTTTTTTGGTTTTGTGTTTCCTAAGAGCTCAGTGGGGTGTAATTCAAAGCTGTGGCTTATTCCTAGAAGATAAGTGAGTATGTTTTTGTGGGTAAAGTTATATAACCAATCCTTTCTTCCCCCTGCTCTAAACCTTTGAATATTCAGTAAAATCTAAATCTGACACTTCAGCCACATGCTTCAAAGGTAGATTCTCAAGATCATAGAGCATCTATTTCTGTACAGGGGCATCTGAGTCTCAGTGGGTATGATTTCTCTAGTCTGTTGAATCAAGTATCCTGTCTTCAGAATCTAGCTGAATTTGTAAGAAGCTGTACAGAAGTGTGGGAAAGTCTACACTTCCTATGTTTACTTTAAAATAACATAGTATAAATCTATTGAAACAGTACACAAGTACCTCTGGCATAGCTGGAGAAATGTTCTCACCATGAAGATGACAAATGTGTTACAAGGATAGTGGGGAGAAGGGTGGGAGAGTTCCCTTCCCACTAAGATAGACTTTTAGGAATTGCTAGTTAGTCAAGAAAGACATTGCGAAGGAATGATTCAGTCTGTTGCACGAAGGCTTGATTTGTTATGATGTACTGACAGTTTGTATCTGCATATGAAAACAGAATTAGAAATTGCCAGAAGTTTTCCTCAAATTCTTTTGTACTGTAGATATCCAGAAGGAAATCAGCACAATAATTTCTATTTCTGATTAATTTATTACTTTGTTTTAAGAAGTAAATAGATTTTGGTGTGAAGAACTGCTTTAGTTTTGTACCCAAGACAATTCTGAATTTTAGTTGTTACAATAATACAAAGACAGTAGTTATAGTTTAGGACATCTGAGCTGCATTAGCTTATATATATATGATTTTTATATGTATATTTATTTATA